CCCGCCTGTGTCGCCAGTCCCCGTCCCGTCGCTCATTTATCAAGCCCGTGGTCCACCTCTCCCGGCCACTAATCTTTCAGCCACGCCTGACGAAAATCTCGCTCCCGGCAGTTAATTTGCAGCCGCGATCGACAAGCTCCGATACCCCTTCCGACACGTGTATACGGGGGCGCGCGCGAGTGCGACCGGCGGAGGCGCCGGGGGGAGTCGATCCGCCAGACCAACCAAGAGGCGACGACAGGTGCGAGAGAGCCGTGGCCACAGCCCCGACTCGCTCGCACTCGTAGCTTTGCTACGCGCTCTCGAGAGCGACGTTGCTCGGGAGCGCTCGGGAGTATCGGACAGGCGGGTGGGTCTTCCTGTGGAGTCGTCCAAGCGAGCTGCCCGCCCTGGCGGTGGCACCAGTGACGCGCCGCACAGCGCGCTCCCCTACGACGGGCTCCTCACGCCACACATTGCGGGCTTTCCGACCGCGGAGGGTCCGGCGGGGACGTGCTTTGCCGGCTTGTCGCCCGCCGACTGCTGCGGCGGCATTTTGTAAAGCCGCCTTGACTATTTTCGTAACGATTTCCACAGCGTTTCTCAATGCCGAGTGGCACGGTCCGCGCAGTCCGACATGGCCCGGGCGGTCGGCTCGTCCCGCGGCCGGCGAGCCGCGCCGCAGAGCTGCTCATAAAATACCATCCTGGCGTCAGATTTTCGCTCGGCGCGCCTCCTCCGCGCCGGCTTCGCACGGGGAAGCAAATGAGGGGTATGGGCGCGGGCCGGGCCGGGCGTACGCACTGGCACGGGCGGCACGGCACGGGGCACGGGTGGCACGGCACGGGCCACCAAGCACGTCCCAGGCACGGCCCGAGCACGTCCCGCGGCTGCTTCGCCCCGCTTCGCCCGGCTTCGTCCACCGTCACGGGCCAAGATTCCGAAACCTGTGTCAGGCCGGGTGCGCCACCTGACCCGAGGGGAGGGGTCAACGCGCGACCGCAACGCGTCGAAAGGGAATTCATTACTGTCTTTTCCTTTTTCGGCTAGAGCTATTATCTATAATTACCCGTGACTGAGTACTGAGTATGTATGTCTTGTGAGTTTTTATTTGTCCTCTGCGAAAGTGAAAATACCCTGCCCTGTATTGGCTTCAAACATTGACTATTCGAGCTAGTCGCCTCATGCTATGAGACAAATATGGTTGGTTAATTAGGGTTCACTTCCACGTTTACGCTTCACTTTGTCAATTATTGACGTTTCCATCATGCTAACGGGATCCGCTGTGTGTTACAAACCACCACTAGCAGGTGCCTTGGCGTTGTTCCCCCCGTGACACCTCAAAGCTTTAGGCGTAGCTGTCGGATGGGTTGCCCGAGCGTCGGGCGCTCGTACGACGACCTGACGACCTCCAGATACGAACCGAGGAGGATGCGTGGTCTCTTACCCTCTTCCCCTCTCCAGCCCCCCCCCCTCCCCCAATCATCAAGTGTTTGCAAAAAAACAACAACATAATTCTGTGGAATAACTGGTTCGGCCCCTAAAGTGCCATGCCATGGTCCGGGGACAACGAGGACTCGACCAGTCGCCGCGCTGAGGGCGACAACCTCACTTTTTCCCATAGCGCCTGCCGCTAACGCGTAGGCAACCGAACCGACTGCCCGGTTGAGCATGGGACACCTAGTACACTGTTCCAGGAGGCTGAGTAGCCCCGCGATCATATCTGTGAAATGAAGGAGATCGTTCAGAAAGCACGATTTGCCATTACGAAATTGCCTTGTTTAGCTCTCGTCATGTTATCTCTCATAGCGCCTGATGGGTGGGCAAAATGTTGTCTGCAGTGCATGCGTGTACTGCGGTGTGGCCTACCCCGAGTCTCGCAGGCGCCGAGCTCCCGCAGTTTTGCCGAATATGAATCTGAGAAAAAACGGACTTATCTTGTGAACGATCCGCAACCCGCCCACGGCTTTATCTACATCTTGGACTGCCTACTTTGCCCCTGGCGCGGCAAGAGAACTTTTAAAGTCCAACGTGCCCTCTCATCACCCGAAGGGATGTACCGGGTGTAACTGAGAATGCGCAACAGTGTTGCGGGTTTGCCTACCCAGTTAGCCCGTAAGGCGCCATGGCCCCTGCAGCCCTGGCGGGTATGCAATCCCGCAACACTGTTGCGCATTCTCAGTTACACCCGGTACATTGTACGCTGTCACGATTTCCTAGGGCCCCGCGGGCCGCGGGTTTACCCTGCCGCGGATCACTCCTACCGTCAAGTCGTCTTGCGGGATGCTCGCGGGAGTCGCGGCGTCGCGGTCGTTGGTAGTGAGGCTCGTCTAGAATGGACGGCGTAGGATGGCAGGCGCAGATCGTGGAAAACTGTTTTCGGTTTGGGCTGTTGCTGTGCAGGTTTTAAGCCGTTTATACTTACAACTTTTTACGGATAAAGGAGAAATCTCCCCTCCTCATCCTCCTTCGTCACCCAGAGCTGCTCGCGGTCGCGTTCCCTCGTCACGATGTGTATAGTCCCGTCTGCCTGTGACGCGAACCAAAATTTTAAGGGGAAGACATGACAGTACGTTGGGTTGCCTATACACCGGCTGCAGGGGCTACACGCGCGGGCGCTGGCAGCGGCGAGTGGCAGCTCCTACTCCTCCTCCCCCCCCCCTTCCCCCAGCTCTTACAGCTCCTGCAGCCAATGCATAGGCAACCCAACGTACTTACATGTCTTCGCCTGGACACCCGGTAGATCCGTTTTGCTGATTTGAAAACGGGTTGCGGGGAGTCGCACATTCTTTCCTTTCCCTACGACTGTGAAAACTAACTCAGTTTATGTTGGAAATCTCTGGTCGGACTAAAACTGGGGCGTCCGCTCTTCGAGGGACCTTTAAAGGGGGAGACCCGTACCTCGCCCGCGTTTGTCAAGAAGGGTTGCCTTTGTCGGCCCACCTGGACAACGAAGAAAGGTGAGGCAGAAAATGTAAATCGTGAGTATGAAAAATTGCTAGCTATTTTTATTGTTTGTTGTACGGTTACACATTCCCACGGTAATTCAATTCGTTTTGTCTAGGTTTGTGTATCACAAAAATTTGGTAATTGTCATGGCACTAGTGAGAAATACATTATAAAATTTAAAAACCTAAAGAGAGAGGGAGGAAGCGGTGGCGCTGACGGGCTCCTGGGTCACCTTGATGGCGACGCTGGCGGGCTCCTGGTTGTAGCTAGAGAAGCTGGAGCGGGTGCCGTAGTTAGCACCGTCGAAGGAGCCAGAGTTGATCTGGGAGCCGAAAGAGAAGCCAGTGGAGCCAGAGGTGCCGGCGTTGGACTTGAAGGCAGAGCTGCCGAAGGAGGGGGCGGCGTAAGAAGAGGGGCTGGCGACGACGGAGCTGCCGAGGGAGGAGCTGCCGAAGTTGGAGGCGCCGAAGGAGGGGGCGGCGAAGGAAGAGCTGGAGCTACCGAAGGAGGAGCTGGAGCTACCGAAGGAAGAGCCACCGAAAGAGGAGGCGCCAGAGCTCTTGCCGAGGATGGAGACGGAGCCGTCGGAGATGATCTCTCCCTGGGCGGGCACGTCGGCGCTCTGGCCGCTGATGGCGCCGGAAGCGATAGCCTGAGCTTCCTGCTCGTTCTTGTACTTCAGGAAGAAGACCTCGGGCTTGGCGTGCTTGGAGGACTGGGCCTGCTTGATGCGGATCTCGGGCTGCACCTGCTTCTGGTTCTTGGACAGAACGTAGATGAGGGTCTTCTCCTCCTCCTGGGCGGGGAGGGTGATGTCGGAGTCGACAACGGTCTGCTGCTGGGGGGCCTTGATGAAGACGAGCTTGTAGTGCTTCTTCTTGTTGACGGGGGCCTGGACGCGGACGGAGGCGCGGACAGCGGGCTCCTCGGGGGCAGCGAAGGCGTAGACGTGCTTGTAGATCTTCTCTTCAGCGCCAGAGACCTGCAAGAATTAACAAAGACAATATAACTATGAGACTTAGTTCTGGAAGAGCGAGCAGAGCGCCGTGAGGGTACGCAGCCCAACAACTCACCTGGGACTGCTGAAGGCTGGAGTCGTAGCTCTCCTGGGAGCGGACACCAACGCTGGAAGCGTAGTTGTTCTGCTGGTAGGCGACGGGGGCGGCCTGGTAAGAGACAGCAGGGGCGGCGGTCACGGCGGTGAAGGCGACGGGGGCGGCCTGGTAGGCAACAGCGGGGGCAGCCTGGTAGGCGATAGCGGGAGCAGCCTGGTAGGCAACAGCAGGGGCGGCCTGGTAGGCGACAGCGGGGGCAGCCTGGTAAGCAGCCTGGTAGGCAACAGCGGGGGCAGCCTGGTAGGTCTGCTGGTAGGACTGCTGGTAGGCGGGGGCAGCCTGGTAGGTCTGCTGGTAGGACTGCTGGTAGGCGGGAGCAGCCTGGTAGGACTGCTGGTAGGACTGCTGGTAGGCGGGAGCAGACTGGTAGGACTGCTGGTAGTTCTGGGCGTAAGACTCCTGCTGGGCGGGCTGGGCGGTGGCGACGGTCTCGAAGGAGTAGCCGGGCTGGGAGACGCCGCTGGCGCCGGCAGAGTAGGAGGACACGCCGCTGGCGTACTGGTTGTCGTACTGCTTGTTGTTGTTGTCGGCCTCACCACGGATGGTGAAGGTGCGCTCGGTGACGGTGGTCACGGCGCCGGAGCTGCTGGCGCCGGAGTACTGCTGGGCGTACTCCTGGGGCCGGGCGAGCGCCACGGCGGCCAGGCAGAGGACCTGCACAGACAACAGGGGGCCGATAAGCATCGAGACGGCGACGGCGGCAGAGGCGAGGCGTTTCAGAAAAAAAGTTGCAGCGGTGACACCAGTATTGGGAGTGACTCCCCGCCCCGCCCGGTCCCGACCAGGGCGCTGCGTCTGCCAGCTCTGGATGTCCGCGCGCTGCTTCCGGCTCGGTTGGCTGCTCCCTCCCCCCCTCCAAGGTCCATGTGTAACGCGCCACATTTACATATTCGGGAAATGAGATGAACCCGTGCGGCCGTTAATGTTTTGATCGCCCAACTGCTCAGCTCGGTTGGCCCACCCCGCCGCCGTCACGGCCTAGCCTCGATCTGCGATCGGCTGAGCTGCCTAATGGCATCCAGGGACTCGGGGGCGGGCAGAGCTCCATCCCAAGGAAAGAGCATAAAGCAAAGGGTCATGAATTCTGACGCTGGGAGTGGCTGGGCGTGGGCGAGGCCCCTGCTTTGGTCACCGCGCCGCGGGGGGTCAGCGCGATGGTCACCGGATTGACTGCAGCGGCCGGGCC